ATTCAAAGCTGTTTGAAAAAGTGCTCTTACTAAGAATTAGACACTGGGCTGAAACAAATCGTTTAGTACCGCCAGAACAATCTGGTTTCCGCCCAAAATGTCTTCTACCAACTCGAGTACTTTCGATATACCAGGAAGTGAAAAACAACATGGCAGCTAATATTCCGACGCTTGCCCTATATGTTGATTACCAAAAGGCTTATGATCGTGTATGGCATGCTGCTCTAATCTGTAAACTAGAAAAAATGGGTATGCCTTTCAACTTGTTGAAAATGACTAATAGTTGGTTAAAAGATAGAAAAGCTTACGTAGAATATGGTGAAATAACTTCGAAAATATTTAGTATAAATATAGGACTGCCGCAGGGTAGTAGTCTTAGTCCGTATTTATTTATAGTGTTTCACTCAGATCTAACAAATTATCTAGGAGCTCATGCATGTCATTTATTTGCAGATGACCTGTGTGTATTAATTAAACCGCCAATAATGAAAAAATTAGGTTCTATGATTGACTACTTAGAAAAAGAAGGTACAAGAGTTTGTAATCAGGTTTTTGCATACTCAAAAAAGTGGAAACAGCCGTTAAATGTTTCTAAAACTGTAGTACAATTATTTCATTCACAAGTTAAAAGACCTGTCGTAAACGTAACAATAAACGGTAACAAAATCGAGTTAGTCAAAGAATTCAAATACCTAGGATTTACTTGGACGGATAAACTTTCGTTGAAACCCACAGTCGATAAAATCATAGGAAATATTCAGAGATCGCTAGGAAAACTGAAATGGATAAAGTCTGGCCGCAGAATGTCATGTAAAGCGCTTCGCCAATGTTTCTTCGCGTACACTTTTCCACATTTTGCGTGGTTATTTCCCCTTTTCCCTCTCCTACCAGTATCTCAACAACATGTATTAGAACAAAAATTCCGTGTAGGTCTTCGGTTGGTGCATCGCTGTCCCTTCGTTTCTGCGCATAATCTATTGAAAGTCACGTCTGAACAGCCCTTACAATTTTATGTAAAAAAATATATTCAACGCAGATTGAAAACCATGTTCATAACTGATCTTGGTTCTTCTGCCTTTTATGAAGATATATTTAGCTGGGATAATTTTTGTAAAAGCAAAAACGATCATCTTGGTCATTTTTTTCGCACACGTCGTGTGCGGCAATTGAAAGATCGACACGAGTCGTTCCTTTTAACGTGGTTGGCTTTTGTTGATGCGAATTAATACCACAGAAAAATGCATAAATGTAATGCTTTACGCAAATTTCTTCTTTCTTTTCTTTTTTTTTCTCTCTCTCGTTCTTTCTTTTAGTTTGTTCTTCTTCCTTTTTTTCTAGCTGTTCGATGAACTCACGTATCTTCGCTGCCGCTTATCATCAGTACTTCTCTCTTTTATTTTATTTTATTTTTTTCACATTTTAATCGATTTTTCATTTATTTACTCTCCAAATATCCCTACAAGCGAAAATTGGTGCGCAGCATAATATATTGTCAGAAAAATTGTAACGCGTTGGTTAAAATGATGTAGCTTTTCGCTTATACATCTATATTTCTCCTTTTCTTATGTAAGCACTTCCGAGTGTTACATTTACGAGCATAATAAAAAAAAAATATATATATAAAGCTTTGGGTACGTTACAAGTACATAATAATCATCGATATTGGATAATTGATACTCCGGTAAGAACATTCTACACTTTAAACAAAAAAAGGTTCTTTCCGTGTAGCCGAGACAACCATTTTTAAAATTTTTTAAAGCACCCATTTTTTCAGTAGTGTCATACTGGAAACTTGAACCTTGAATTTTCAACTTGAAAGTTGAAGCTAAGTGTGACAAGTATGAGTTACTCTTAATGATTTATCTATTTTTGAAGAAAAAACTACCAAGCAAATCTTTTCATCGAGCACAGAATTCTCTATTCCATAACATGAGATAAAAAGCATTTCGAGTTCTAAATAGGCACGATATGATCTTTATGAATTAATAGCAGCAGTTGAATAAAGCTTACGCTTTTTTTATTTCTAAATTACCAGGGTGATTTACAAGCAACGAAACCAGAACGTAAATATTACTATAAACGATGGATTGATCCTACATATGATACATCACTAGATCATCGTTTAAAGGAAGAGAATGAGCACAAATATGAAGAAGCTAGACTAACAACTGAGATCGTTGCTAAGTATAACAATAGTCTCAAACAAAAACTACATTTATGTGTACTTGTTTTCGATGGACGCGTCGATGAACCATTGGAAAAATATTATGAGAATTGTATTGTAAAACATTTAGGTACACAATCTCGTACAATATTTGCACGAACAAAATGGGATTCTATGTACATGAAAACGGACGCAGTACTCAAGAAGGAAGAAAATGAACAAAGACAATTATTGATTGAAACAGTTAGATTAGATGAAAATGAAGCTCGAATTGTGTTTACAACTGGATTAATTGATAAAGATGCTGAAAATGATCCAGAAATAGTGCAAATGATTCGTGGAAAAGGATTTAATAATGAGAATTTACAAAATATGATTCGTCAAACGGTGGATCATCATTGGGATAATCTTCAAATAGAAAGAAAAGCAAATGAACAAGGTTTACCATTACGTTTAACTGAATTAAAAGAAGGAGATCATATTTTGTATTTTCCAACTAATGAAAAACAAATCCTTCTTCAGCATTAGTCGCATCAAATCAAAATAATAACATTACAGTTTATACTCGTACAGCTCACTTTATAAATAATATACGTCAAAAAGATTCTGATGGTACTGAATATCATTGGTTTTCATTTGAAAAGTTTCAAAGATTTACATTTCAAAAGGTTGATTGCGAGATACCTACCGATTATGCACAAGATCCACCTCATAAAATTATTCGACAATTATATAAAAATGCAACAAAAAAAGAAATAGAGCGATCAGAAGCAATAGAAAAACACTTTCCAGACTTGAAGACAAAGAAGTTAAATATTAATAGTCAAGTTGCGAGTGAAGCGACCAAACGAGCTGAACTGATTAAAAATACGACTAGTTTCGATACAAAGCCGTTCAAAATATATTCAAGTGCTGATTTTGTTTATTATTGCAAAACAGGTCAACAGCCACCATTAGACGATGAACTTTGGACAAATATATAATTTAAATTCTTTATCCACAATAGCTGGTTATTGTGGAAGAGCAGTCAGCTATATATTTCTCATGCTAACCTTACCGGAATATCTCAATCTTCGTGCCGTTTTCTCGGTATGTTTCCAGTGGTCGATGCGACTATTTGTGCGGTCAACTGTTATAATGAACCACACAACAAAGTCCGTCATATATCCAAAGCTACTGCAGGATATATCGCATCCATTGGTTTTGGCGCAGGAGTGACGCTTTTGGTAGGCTCGACTGCTCCAATTATTGTTGTTGGTTGCGCAACAGGTGCAGCTTGTGCAATCATCAATTGGGGTGTTGGATACTTAATAAAACCGAACGATCGTGAAAACGAAAGAGCAATCAACACTATCGAAGTACCCACTGAAACAGAATAATCACAAACTAGTTCTAACATATTTATTCTAGAATTTGATTCCTGTTTACTATATTGAAAGAGTAGAGTCAAGAAACTTCAAAAAAGAAAATGTGTGTGTATGTCTATCCGGAAACAAGTTTTCAAAATGATTGCTTATTTTGTGTGAAGATGTGTTTTTGCTTTGACTGCAACATGTATTACAAATAAATCATTTATTTCGATCTCCGGAACCACATCTATCTCTTTGAAACATACCTGATTTCTATACAAGATAGACTCAAGAATAGGGAGGACTTCTCAGACTATCAATGGATGGCTTGATTTTTCTTCTTCGTATTTTCGTGTTGATCTTAGTTATTTTAAAACATATTGCACAAAGGTGTGGGGTGTGGGGTGTGTGGTGTGAGTACCGGTATGAATATGCTTCGCCGTCTTTGCCAGAACCGCACCCCACACCCACACCGACACCCTAATGTATACAGCAATGAAATGAATAAAAAGTATATATTGCTTCTTTTTAGCAGTTTATTTTAAATTTTTATAGTATTTTGAAAAAATACAAGAAAAATAACAAAAGAAAAAGAGAAACAAGAAGAGAATCAAAAGAGAATAATAAAGGAAAAGGAAATAGTTAAATTAAGTATATATATAACGCGAGGCCTTTCGAATTTTAACCTTTTTCAAGCGATAAATAATGCCCGATTTCAGTTGAGCACCCTCGAGCAGATAGAAGAAATGTATAGAAAAATTGTATAAAAAAATAATACAGAAAAACAAGATATATAGATGAGATATATAGAAAATATGTATAGAAAAAAAATGAAAATAAAAATAAATTATATAGCTGAAATAGGTTTAATATTCTTTTTATCAGAGAGGATGAAAATAAAAATAAAAAGAAGGATTGAAAAGGAAAATTTTTTTATATAGTCATGTAGTTGAAATTGTTGAATATTTTAAGTAGAAAAAAATTGAACATTGGTTACTTTTCCATTTTTTGAAATAGATACTTTTCAAGTGAGAACCAAAATGGACTACAAATGGTGTATATGTGAAATGTAGTAGAATATTTCTATCGAAATCTGATTTTCGTTTTTCTCTTTTTATTCCAGGTTAAGTTCAATACCATATGTTCGAATTTCTGATGGATCATTTCCTATTAGTGTTTTCGACGTTCTTTGTCCTGTTTGATCATTGAAGAAGCGTCCTATTTGCTTATCTATGAACTGTGGTGGATATTTGTTCAAAATTAACATAATTCTAATTTTTCTAGCTCACATTGTAGATCCTTGGCACGAAAACATATACGAATTGCTCGTAGAGTTGTTGCATGCGGTATGTTTCTAGTTACGTGTGGAGGATGTGATGAATGAAACGGAAGATCATACGACTTAGCTGCTAGTTTTCTAAGTACTGGCGTTCTGAAATTTGGAACCTCTATAGTTGACTTTATATTTAAGTACTCAATTGTTTTTCCTCCTTCCCATGTGATACTTATATTGGAGTCTTTCTTATTTAATTCTGCTAGAAATCCTTCTATTTATTTTCTAAGTAACTTCGTAGTTATGAAAACATTATCTCGAAAACAGAAATATAATTCTCGTTATTTATGTTGTTGTTCCATAAAATGGCTTTCCCATTTTCTTACGTAAATATCTGCAAGTACTTGAGTGCATACAGATCCCATTGCTTCTCGTCTAACTTGTTTGTAAAATTTCGCTTCCAATCCTGGAAGTTGAAAAACGAAATATGAGTTATCTAGGACATATAAAAAAGGAGTCTTTATCGTATTTATAGATAGACCACGAACATTTTTGTGTCTATTTCTACCTAGAAATTCACATACTGCTAGTACTGATTCCATTTGAAGGATCATAGTATACAAATCTGTTATATCAAACGTGTACATATTTGTTTCTGATGTTGTATTAAAGTTTTTTAAATGTTTAAGAAAAATTATCGAATTTGGGAGTGAGTAAGGAGTGTGACTGTCACAGAGATAGGTCGGATACTTTGATCAAAAAAGCAGTTATTTTTCCTGATGGATATTTCATTCCATTAACTAAAGTTCTGAGCGGCTCTCCTATTTTATGATCTTTTGGATTGTAATATGAATGTGGTCATTCTGACTCAATGATTGAAGGTCTCAATTTTTCCATCATAGATTGAGACTTTTGTTTTATGCTGCTGACTTCTTTATATAACTTTCTCGAGTATTAGCATGAAACACCTTAGATTTATCTGTTTCTCTAAATATGACTTTCTTTTGCTTTTGAATCTTTTGAAAATATTTTATGATTGTTTTTCGAGTTGTGTCTCGTGTTACTTCTGTTGTGACTGTTTTTCTTATTTCTTTCTCTATTCGTTCATAAAAAAATTTCCCTATTGTTGGTTCTCTTCCTACAGTTTTTGTCATTCTTTTCCATGCTGTTGAAAGTTTTTCTTTCATTTGCTATATCTCATTTGGGAGACGTTCTAAAACTTGCTCTGGTGCTGGTGGCACGAATTTCGATCCTAAATTAAGTACTCTTGCTTCTGTATCTTACAACGTAAAAGTTTTATTGTTAGCTTGAGCTGGAAAATTTATTGTACTGTAATGTGGATGTAGCTTTGACTTAGAGAATCCTGAATGATGACGGGTTATGGCGTACATTAGTTGGCGTTGATTGTGCACGCCCTTTTTGCTAAAAATTTCAATTTCTTTTCGCAAACTGGCTATGTCTTGTTCGTGATACACGAACTTAAGTTTCGTACGGTTCCCGAAGGGAAATAGAAACATTTTTTATCAGTTCTACATATTCTTTGTTTGCTTGTCTCATCAATGATGTTAGATCTAATTTCGTTTTTCTCAATACATTTTTCCATTCTTCTCGAAGTGAACTTAAATAAACACTGTCTGACTTGAGTCCTTTCGCATCTAATTCTATTTTGTCAAACATGTTGAGAGATAGTGGTGGCATATTCTCCAAAAATCTTCTCTCTAATTTCTCTAGTTGTAATTCCAGATCTAATGTTCGCATAAATTTCTCATGTAAAAGTTCTATGTATTGGTGCTCTTTTGGTGTAGCACTATTTTTAATTTGTCGTGTAGCTTTTTCTCTCATATGATCTAGTAAGAGATTGTCTAATCTATTGCGATTATTATTCTTCTTACTTTCAAGTGATTTTTCAAGAATATTTTTTATGAAACTAACTATTGTTACTCCTAAATGTTGAGCAAATAATGAATGTAATTTGTCTTCTCTCTCGTTGTCTAATGTGTTATACATATTTTCGAGATATTCTTGATGACTTTTTATTGTTTCAAATGTGCATTGTTGTCTCATTTGTTTAAAACGATATCTACATTCGATAGGAATAATCGAAAAGCCAAATGCAATATGAACTGCTATTGTTATAATTGCATTTTTCGGTATTACAGATGGTGATCATATTTGTTGTTCTGGTGTAGAACTCTGAAGAGGAGATATTATCATGGAAGATTCTCTAGCTACATTGGCAATAGTTGACTGCCTCTCTAAATGTTCATTTCCATTTTTTTCTTGTTGTCCATCTAATGGTAAGAGTGAATTAAAGAATGCTGTTGTTTTTCATTCGTTTTTTTTTATCGTTGAGAAATGGAGATGATTGAAGAGATCTCCAGTAAGTGGTACTTTATTATTTCTCGGTGGTAACATCTTTCTCGGAATAATAAGTGGAGATTGTCATGGAGATGATGGTGTTGGTTGAGGCAATCATTCATCAAACTCACTCATATCTAATGGTCCAATCTATTATTATAGTTTCCATTTGCTCAATTGTTTTATTTTTACTTGCTGTCGATCTTATATATATTTTCCATTTCTCCAATTCCAATCTGAAATATCCAGTTCGAAAATGGAGATTACTCAAGAGAAAAATATTTTCTTTTACGCTTTCTAACTCTGCTGGTATCGTAATTTTTCTAAAAAATTCTTCTCTATATCTTAAAAAATGAGGATAAATAGTTATCACTACTTTACTCGGTTTTTGTGTTGATTCTATTGATGAATGATAATAATTTTTTATTATTATTGTTGTTGTTGTTTTAATTATTTTGATAATTTTATTGTCGTTGTTGTTTCTGTTGATATGACTTATGCTGTGGTCTTTGTGGCTGTGGATGTTAATGATGATGGTGATGATGTTGTTGATTATCTTCATTATCAAAAGAAAACCGTTGAGTTTGCGTAGTAAACTAATGATAAAGAGCTTTTCAATAAGTATACGACCTGACTGGATTGATGGATCGAGTCCATCTTGATGCATGTGTTGATGTTGAAGATGACCATCCATCAATAATTTGAAAATTCATTTGTTTGGATAACATTTGAAAAAGCCGATTAAATTTCTGATTATTTTTGTCGATATCTGAAGAACTAAATAATCTCGATGGTTTTCATCGTGGTGAGAGAGCAAGCCAAGCGATGGCTGTGTGTGTGTATGTCATAGAAAGTGGAACAGCTAAAGCTCCTAGATTCTACAGGCAAACACAATATATATCGATAATAGATGATGGTCTTACAGCTTTGGTATTTAGAATTCTATGCTTTACTATTTTTTAAAATAAATCTATTCCCTAAGCGAAGATCAATTAAATGACATATTTTTTAAAGTTATTAAGGTGTCGTTGTGAAACTACTAAACACACACACACTCTCTCTCTCCTGCTACATTCTATTTTCCTTTTATTATTCAGTTGTGTGAAGGATTTTCCCTTTCGTTCTTTTGCCTTTTGAATATTTGACAGGTAATTTTCCCTTCTCATCTATAGGGGCGTCACCAGAAAAAAATTGTAGGGGGGGGGGCGGGGCTTAGAAAATGAATCAATGAATATTTAACGTGAAGAAATACTTTACATTTTGGTTCGTTTTATATTTAAGTAAGCTAAAGAAGTGTACAAGATAAAATATAGTTCAAAGTTTTTGATTTCTTCATTTAACATCCACCACGTAGTATTACGACTAAATTAAGAGCACTTCCAACGTTGATATTGTATTCATTAACTGTTTTATCATTCGCCATTTGTTTTCCACCGAAAACAAGTCATTGCCGTGTTGGATGTTATTATTCGTTCTTCATTTAGTCGTAATACTACGTGGTGAATGTTAAATGAAGCAATCAAAAACTTTGAACTACATTTTTATCTTGTACACTTCTTTAGTTTAATTAAGGACCGCCATCTATATGATGAATATAGATGGACGATCCATCGCTTTTATCACTATCTAGTTTTGCTCTTCTTCCAATAAAACGTAATCTAGAGAGAGCGAGAGGGTGGTTTGATGTATCCGGGTGTAAGGGTGGTGGTTAAATTTTTCTAGTTGTAATCAGTTACTTTTTTTTCGTGTTGACTGTGACCTGTTTTTCCTTGCGTTATTTCTTTTTTAACTTTCGCTACTTTTTCTGTTGCTGAAAATATCTATCAGCTGTTCTTTTTGTGGTTATATCTTTTTTTGTAAAAGCTTAGGTTATATTATTTAAAAATAAAGTTACGATCCAAAACTGAACCTAACAGTGTGAATTTGGACCAAGACAAATTCATGCCCACATCCACTTTCTTAAAATGTTTTCAAAGTTGAAATGCCACCCCTACTCACACTAACACCCCTTGATAGTGGTCGTATACAAGCGCAACCGATAGAATCCGAGCGCTGTACCATCATTAAATAATATCTATGAAAAGAGAAATATATGCATGAATATTCGAAAAAATAGCTCGATGAAACGTGAGATTAACCTGTGAGAAATCGAAAAACAAAGTTAACCGCGAATGTTTTTATTACACTTTGTTATTGTACTAAGCTATGTTAATGATCCCTACATCTTACTTTATACTCTTCCTCGCGATCTTTAGTCATGCTTATAGTGAAAGTTCTTCAAGCTCGAATGATTATCAGGATCTCATTCAACGATTGGACGCACAAAAAATTCAAATAGATGCTCTAATCAGACGTTCAAAAAAATCTAATCTTTTCTGCCGCAGTAGAGTGCTGACCAATGAATTTTTATCTCTATCTCTCTAGCATTGGCATTTTTGTTGAAGTCAATACAACACGTTGCCAATGCCATATGATGCCTACCTATCAAACAAGTGTTTGGTGGAATAAATTCAATTTGGTTTGTTGGTGATGCAGTATCGATTTATAATGGAACTGCCACTGGGTTTCGAGTTTATCTTTCTCCTGTAGACAAGATTCAAATATCTGCAGATCTTGGGGGTGTGGGTGTGAGTGTTGCTCTCTTGTTACACCCGCACCCTCATTTTTAGATATGATGATGATATTTTCTTTACTTCTAACGACTCAATCGAATCTATCGATCAAATGTTAGATCAAGCTAACAACTTTCATCCAAATATTAAACTAGTGCGACAAATTGGCAGAAATATGCCACTTATTGATGAATTCATTGAGAACAGTAACGGAACTTTAAAAACTTCAGAGTATCATAAAGAAGCTGCTGAGCCATATCCCGTACCCTTTGTATCAGATCATGATAGTCATGTTTTTCGAAACACTGTTGATACTGCTATTACGAGAGCAATTCGTTATTCAACAACCTTGGTTCATTTCGAGGAAGAAATACGATAAATCAAACTTATGTTTCTCTGTAATGGGTGCGTTTCCGGTATTCATTCGAATTTCTCATTCTTTTTATCTGAATTATAGATACCCGCCAAGACATATCGATTGGCGACTCACTACATTATTCAACAAATATTTATCCAAGCATTTTATCTTGCATATGCTCAATAACTCTGATGACTTTGATTATTTACGTCACCAGTTATTGACAACATCAACAGATATAACATATGATACAATAACCAATGGCTCACCTACCGATCAAAATCACGACAAAAAGATGCAAAATCAGGTTATGCAACCAACAGATAGCAACGCACTAGCAGCAAGAAAACGCCTCATCGTTCAGTAAAGAAATGAAAAACGACTTAACAATAATCATCGGCATATTCATGAATTGTGGAACCGTACTTTCCATGGTACAGAAACCATAAATACTCTTCTAATGGTCGGAACTTATTTGAATCCCAATTTAAAACAAGAATTAACGGTAAGGATGATCAAACATTATCCACCTGCGAGAAGCAGTCAAGAGGCCAAAACGCAACATCAGACTGATAAACAACCACAGAATCTTCAAACGAATCAAACCAGCCAATAACATAATCCATTTCATGCATCGTATTGTTATTTATAAAAACAAAATAAATATGTCTCTATGGAGAATAAATCACGCTATGTAACACTTGCTTCTACAGAAACATCTGAAGTTCAGGCATAAGATGCACGCATCCGCTTGGCTATTTGAAAACTAGCCTACATCAGAGCTTAACACATAAATATATATTAATAAGCATACCTACGAAAGTTACATAATAAAATGCATTTCTACATCAACATCAAGATAAAGTCTGTGCCACAATCAACTTCTACAATTTCTTGATGTCATAGATATATTTATGAGAACCACTCTATCAGAAAGTTATTTCAGCAAGCAATGAATATGCCATCTTTAGTATCAAGCACCCTATTCTTAAGGAGTGAACCATTATATCAGGAACTTTCTCCATCAGAATCGATAAACCTCTGATTCAAGAAATTGTTTTCCAGTAAATATTCAATTATTCAACACAAGAACCGCCTCACGGATTAAAAAGTTCATTTATCTAAATAAGATTATTTCGAATCAATGCAAACTCAAAGCTGTCTCATGCCACCTTTCCGCAAAGTTGAAACGTATAACTGTCACCTCAAAAACATACCCTACTCTTGAAGATATATATCGTACCATTGACAATCGTATAGATCCAATAAATTATTAAATTCTTCTTTATGATCTATGAATCATCACAACAGACTCTCTCTCTATATATATATGACTAAAATCGGAGCCATATGATGAAACCCTTCAGCAAAGTTGAAACTCGTAACGCTTACTCCAAAAACACATCCACAACCAAAACCAAAACTGTTTCTGATCGTTAAATAATTTGAATGTCTACGAATTCGGAACTACCCGATGAGATCCTTAAGCAAGATCGAAACGCGTCGTAGTATGTTTCAAAACACTCCCACGCCCTCACAGCTTTTCATTCAAATGAAACTCTCAGTTATGAAGGCAAGAATTTCAGTAGAACATCGATTTTATTCAATATTAACTCCACCATTCAATACATGACGAAAGAAAAATATACTTTCACTTTATCAAGTGTAGCATCAGTTCGTATGAAACCTATTGAGGCAAATGTAACTATGATTTGAACTTTTTGTATCGACAAATTTTTGTGAAGGATGACTCATTAGAAGATCCTAATGACGCTACTCGAACCAAAAGCTTCTGAATTTTACTTGCGTCTATTGGCGGGTTCAACC